GGTAGCGCGAAATTAACGAGGAGAAAAATGGCAAAAGCTTATGCTAAAATCTGGGGGCTATGGGTATCGGGAAAAAAATTGCAACGAACGATACCTCAGTCAATTTTTTGGTGGTTTTTTGAGCTGCTCGTACCCAGAACACTCGAAAAAGCGGTAATCACCTGGCTGTGCCGATGGGTAGGGCTCGGGTGATTCAGTAGCCCCGACTGTTGAAGAGCTAGTTCTCTTTGTTTTACAAACACACACCCCAGATGACAGCAGCCCCCTGTGGGTGTGCCAGGGTGCAGAATTTAGCCCAGAGAGAGGGAGCGCGGAGAGATGGAGACGTCCGCGGACGCGGATACAGTAAAAGTGGTGGGGTTGGCCAAACAGTGCTCGCTGTTTCCCTCACTCTCTCTCTCTCTCTCTCTCTCTCTCTCTCTTCTCTCTGTCTCTCTAGCCGGACCCATTGGGCCCCTGCCATTGTGTTTGGGAGCGCGCGTTGCGGGGTTAGGCAAACGGTGTGCGCGCGGAGAACACGGCCCGCGCCCAGGCTGGCACCTTTCCACGCGTTTTCTTTTGCTATATAGGTGTTGAAAGGCCGGGGAGACGGTTCCATTACGGGCCTAGAAACCCGAGGAACTCTCAGGCGAAACCGGCTGAAAACAGGGCGGGTGTGTGAAGCTTCGCAACGCTGAAAGCAGAATGGCGAAGTCGTGCTGAGCCCCAGGTTTTAGAGGAAAACTTAAGGCTTACTCTTGTAGGCCTTGCGCTTTTAGACTATATTTTGGCATACCATGAGTCATATTAAGTTCAAAAAATCATAAACCCTTAACACGCTGGGAAACCATTTAATAGAAAGGCGGAAAAATCAAGTAAAAGAGACGGCAAAGAGTAGTAAAAATAACGCCACCACCCCATAGCTTCACTAACGAACATTTCCCGTCCAACTTCTTCTCACAAAAAAAGAAATCCGTCGCTTTCGATAGCCCACACACGGCAAAAACTGACGCCGACCGTGCGCAATTTAACCTGACCCCCCGGGGAAAATTAGCCCAGAAATTTAATCACGAGATTCCCACGTCCCA